CAAGGAGGGGTTGCTATGAGTCGGAGTCGACTTGATGGCACATAACAACAGCAACAACATATATCAGTGATTATGTAGTCCAATCATAGGAATGAAATCTTTAATTCCATAACGCTAAACACACTTATTTATAGAAAAATCATTAATGATTTAGATCTAGGCCTCTTTCTCAACAGCTTTAGTTTGGTGATTTTATCAGGATATAATAATTTTTTCACTGTGATTAATTCTTTTTCTTGAAGACTCTTATAATTAGATGCATCAAGCATATATATATTATGCCCATAAGCAGTAAGCCTGCCAGTCTATGAGGGAAGATAGAGTAAGAATAAAAGTTAGTATAAAATGTTCAACATTAGAGGGCCACGTGTGGATATCATGTGATGAAAACAAAACACAAAAGGCAATTATTTTGCTACCTTTTTGTTGTTTTCTTGGTCAAGATCATCTGACACCTATATTAAAGAAAGAAAATAATGTCTCCAAAAGGCAAAATTCCAAATTTACTAGTCATATATATAAATATTTATACAAATATATGTAAACATAAAAATACATGTTGTGGTCTGTTGTGGATTGAATTGTGTCCTCAAGAAGACATGTTAAAGCTCTAACCCCCAGCATCTGTGAACGTGACTTGGTTTGGAAATAAAGAGTCTTTGAAGATGGTATCGGTTAAGATAACATGAGGTCATTCTGAAGTCGGGTGGGTCCAAATCCAATATGAGTGCTATCTTTATAAAAGGGGAGAAGCAACACAGAGAGATACAGAAAAAACAGCTACGTGAAGAGGGATGGAGGCAGAGATTAGATTGCTCCAGCTCCAGCCAAGGAATGCCCAGGATTGCCAGAAATCAATAGAAGCCAGGCAAGAGTCAAGAGGCATCTTCTCCTAGAATCTTAAGAGAGAGAATGGTCTTTAGCCTTCACAACTGTGAGAGAAAGTATTTTTATTGTTCAGTCCACCTACTTTGTGGTATTTTGTCACAGAAGCCCTCAGAAATGAACACATGGTCCCACTGCATGAAAAGATACTCCTCTAACTCTGCGTGTGGCTGATTCCTCTTTGCCTTTTGGGCCCTGGCTTCCTTATTCCTGCCACCTCATTGTTATCTATTTTACTGCTTATTTTTTTATTTTCTTAATAGCACTTTGTGCAAATTATCATTATATTTATTTGATTATTATCTGTTCCTTTCCCTTTGCCCTAAAATCTCATTTAACTACAAACTCCATGAGGGAAAAGTATTAGTGCATTTTGAGTCTTCTAGATTGTGATGGTCTAGACTGTGCCTGGCACATAGTGGGTATATAATATTTTTCATCAGGAAGATGATACCTAACTGGCAGGACTGGTTCTCTAATAAGGACTTGGATTAGGATATTCAGGGGCCATTTTCCTAATGGCTTCAACAGGCTAACTTTTGCTATTGGTATGCCATTGTAGTCTCCCTCCCTACCTATGTTGTTGTTGTTGTTATGTGCTGTCGAGTCAGCCCCGACTCATGGTGACCCCTCCTTGGGTTTCCGAGGCAGTATCGCTATGGAAGTAGGATTGCCCAACCTTCCTTCTGAGGAGTGGCTGGTGGGTTTGAACTGCCAGCCTTCTGGTTAGCAGTCAAGTGCCTTAGGCACTGTGCTACCAGGGCTCCCTCCCTACATATAGTAATGTAATTAATGATAACATTTAAAGGACATTGGCCAGATGGATAGTGATCAACACTGAACATAATTAATGAGTAATTTAGATGTTCTTTCATATTTTTGTGTGTGTCTCAAGTTTAGATGTCAATTCCATTCCCCACTGAGACTTTTGTGTTGTTATATTTCTAGAATCTCGTAACTAGGAGCTGCTACCTCTTGAGAGTCACAACAGAAAAAGGACACAAAGATTCTGACCTTCTTGACGCTATTTGCAACAGCTTCCTTATGACCCAAGTCATCAGCAGAAAGTTCATTTCCAAATTTGAATTCAGGGTGAGCTTCCTCCTCTTGGTCAGCTGCATGGAAGACAAAAGGAAAATTGATGAAGCCAAATTACTGCCAAGCAGTCAGACCTTGTCTGTAATCTTGGGTAGAACATAAGCACTTTTAGAAGGAAAGGATTTTAAAAGAAAATGCAAACATTTAAATATGCAATTTTTTCGAGTAAACTTCTCAGTAAATTCTTAACTACTCAAGGTCAAGGACCACATCTTGTTTATTTCCCCAACATCTAACATGGAGTTTAACACACTTATGCTTAGTAAATTTATATTTCTGCTTTAGTATAACCTTAACCCTAAAAATTAAAGCCTCATATACCTCAGAACTATTTGTGACTCATAAAAAGATACTTTGATTTTCTATTACACCTGGAGGAAAAAAAGCATATTCATAAAAAGAAAATACAATCTGTTAACTTTGAATGTGATAGTAAAACCTCCACTTGAATACTATTGACATAATGACTAGGGGACTGGGAAGGTGTGATATAAAAAGGAAAGACATTAGAAGGATTTCCCTGCTCCTGTAAACTATTTGTCAAGCTTGGCTGAAGGTTCAAAAATTCTGAACTCAAACGTTAGGCTTATGCTAGGAGTCCAGATTGTGACAGGAAGCACAAAAGCACTCAGCCCACTGATCCAGGAAAGAAACAAGAGCTCTGGGATCCACCCAAGGCTGTTGGTGTAAGAAAGATCACCCACTGGAAAACAAGCCACACACTGGTGGGGGATCTGAAGTCACACCATTCCCAGTCTGCAGGAGCCTCAGGTAAGTAATTTGTCTTAAACAAGCCAGAATCAGGAGAAACCCATAGGGCTCAAGGAGATGTAAATATGAAGTCACACTGCCACGATATAGGTCATGCCAGAATCTTACTGAGGGCAGGGGAAGGAAAGTAATTTCTGAGTATGAGATCATAAGGGAGATGAATAGAACCACAAGAATTAGAGATTTTTTTTAATGTACTTTTAAAATGTTCAAAGTGAAAATGCAATAACAAGAATGAATAAAAATAAGTTTGCTAATTCTAAGATGCATTTTCCCATCACATTTTAGTACTTCTGACATTGCAATGTACCCTTCACTCTATAGCATTTTATAACTAATTGGAAGCATTCTTCTAATTTGTACATAAAATAGTGGTGTCTTTTAACTGATGGTATTTTGGGTTAGAAATTTCTTGAGGGACTACTTTATGTAAGTTACTATTATAGTCACGGGAAGTAGTTGTGAGCAAGGGAGACAGACACTTTCCTCGCCTGTAGGTGATATTCTGGAAAGAGGAGGAAGACAATTTAATTTAAAAAAAAAAAAAAAGCAGGTCATATAAGTCTTAAGCAGGAAAAGAATTTGTCAAACTGGACTGTCATTGTTGTTGTTAGATGGGGTTGAGTCTGCTCAGACTCATAAACTCAGAGTCGGAGACTCCTGCACCATCCTCCAAATCCTTGCTATGCTTGAGCCCATTCTTGGAGCTACTGTGTCTATCCATCTTAAGGGTCTTCCTTTTTTCCTCTGACCATCTACTTTACCAAGCATATCTTTCTCCAGGAAATGATCCCTTCTGAGAGAATTGGATTAGGCCTTAAATAATCTAGTCCAGTGTCTTTATTTTATAGATGAAGAAAAAGATTCAGAGATGTGATTTGACTTGTCTGAGGTCACAGAGTAAGATGTGGACCAGAATTCTCCTGATCTTTAGCACAATGCTCTTTCTATGATGCTGGGCTGCCTTCCTTTGGTTTGTAACCAAGATTTTGAAAACTCCTACCATCACTATAATATTTCTATTTCATATATGTCTAGACTTACCTTTCAGCCAGATGTAAAGTCTTGATGGCAAGAGGCATGTCCCATACAATGGTAGGACTTAATAGCTACTTTAAAAGAGTTATATAAATGAATTTTGTCATCTCTTGGGCTTGCATGTATATACAGACACATTCACAAACACATACAACATTTCGTGTTTCCCACTGGTTGTTTCATACTCCTGAGAGCCACACATCCTACTGAATCTAAACCCTGTCTAACTACTGGGCACACATTCTCAACTGATTTGTCTTTTCTATTTTCTATAACCTCCAGGCATGCCCTCTTGAACTATGTTTGCCTTTTGCTTGCTTTCTGTGGTGATGTATTTAAATTAGAGAACAGAGGTGTTCTTGTTATGTCACCATCATAATCCCAGCCAACTGGTTGACAAGAACCAAGGCTAAGTATCTCTGACAGAATACAAGAATTAGACCCCATTATCTGGCACAGCAGAAGCCTCTGTGCACTTCAGGAGAAATTCAGGTGGCTGATAATCTCCTCTTTCCTACCATTGTACCCATGTGGCTATATCTGTTAAGATTTAGTACGAATCTCAAGTATATTTTTAAATGACAAGGGAGTCTCTAGTAACAATTTTTTTTTCTGCCTATTAGCTCTGGTAGCACAATGGCTAAGGCACTTGACTGCTAACCAGAAGGCTGGCGGTTCAAACCCACTGGCCACTCCTCGGAAGGAAGATGGGGCAATCTACTTCCGTAGTGATACTGCCTCGGAAACCCAAGGAGGGGTCGCTATGAGTCGGGTCCGACTCGACGGCACATAACAACAACAACAACAACATAAACCTGCCAAAATCTATGGCTTTTGAGTTGATTTCAACTCACAGCAACCCTACAAGACAGAGTAGAACTGTTCCATAGAGATGCCTAGGCTATAACCTTTACGGGAACAGATTGCCACATCTTTTTCCTGCTTACTAGCTTTGAACAGCCGATCTTTCGGTAAGCGGCCAAGTGCTTAACCACTGTACCACCAAGGCTTTTTCTATTGGACTATAGCATCTAGCAATGCCTTAAATTTTTTGATTATCATTTGTGAAACTTAACCTAAGTTAAGGAATTGATTTTACTTAAAATTCATCTTTCCACATTTTAGGAGTATTTTGTTGATCTTTTGAAATTTATTTTAAACTTTATGCTAAAATCGTGTTTAGGTTTATAATTTGCTAAAACATGATATAATATAATAGGCATTGTGGCAGATCCTATTTTCCAAAGACAGCCACAATAATATCTGCCCTCCCATGTACTTTTATGCAATGTGACCCTGATATTTGCCCACCTCCACTCTCCTTGAATTTAGGTGAGCCTGAGACTGCTTTGAGGAATAAAATGTGGAGAAAGTGATATTGTGTCAGCTCAAGTCATAGCCCTTAGTAGTCTGCTTCTTGACTGTTGGAACACTGGCTCTTGAACCCACGCTGCCATGCTGTGTGAAGTCCAAACCACATGGAGAGGCCACATGTGGGTGCTCCAGCACGTAGTCCCAGCTAAGCTCCCAGCAAACATCCAGAATCAACTGGAAGCCATGGGAGTGAGCCATCTTTGACAATAACCCCAAATGAACCTTCAGAGTTTCTAAAAGTATTTTGAAATCATTTAGTCTAAAGTATCTATATAAATCCAGGGCACTGTCTAAACAATAGCCACACAAATGCAATCCTCTGTTATTTTGTTAATTAATACCTATGATTCATAACGAACAAATAATTTACTTGAAATACCCTGAAACTCTCAAATGATCCATTTAAAACCAAGCTTTATGATTGTGATTATATGAGAAAAATAAAAGAGAAGCTAACATCAACTCATCAAATAGTTTAAGTAAGCCTTTCTTTATTGAAATTATCTACCTATGGCATTTGACTGCTAACTAGAAGTCTGGTGGTTCAAACCCACCATCCACTCCTTGGAAGGAAGGTTGGGCAATGTACTTCCGTAGTGATATCACCTTGGCAACCCAAGGAGAGGTCATTATGAATTGGATCCGACTCGACAGCAGTGATCTTAGTTTGAGTTTTGGGAAATTTTGGTGAATTATTTGTAGGAATTTGAACTTGATTTTAATACTGGATTTGAATTTCCAGTTATTGGAAATTGTGTCCATACAAACTCATCATTTATTTGAGGGTCTCCACCCACGTTCCTTGTTCTTTTCCTTTTTTTGGTAGAATCATATTTTATTAGATTGCTTTCTATTATCAACTGCTTTCAGACTTTAAAGAAAATGGCAGTATAATTTTTAAATGGTCCCTCGGAAACCCAAGGAGGGGTCACTATGAGTCGGGGCCGACTCGACGACACATAACAACTAACAATTATTGATAGACTAGAAATACACTCTTTAGATTTAAGTATTATTTTTCATTATAATAATATATTCGTACAGTAAAAATTAACTTGCCTTATTACTACTGTCATTAACAAGACTGGAATTCCTGCTTTTGCTTACAGAAAGAGACTGCAGAATGCTCTTTTTATCCCAACCTCTGCCTTCTACAGCAATTGCTTCAAGGAAGCCTGGCTGTGAATTTCTGCTAAACAGCTGAATGCACAACAGGAGGGGAGAAGACTAACCCACGAAAATCTAGTGGCTAGATAAATGAGAAGGAATAATAATATTTGAAAAAAATAGCAAAAGAATAAGGTTGGCCTATGAATACATACCTGATTACTAAGAATAAAAATTATATACAGGTAGTCCCCAACTTAGGACGTAAAGGAGTTCCAATGAACTGCAATTACAACTGGCTGTTTTTTTTTTTTTTTCTCCCCCATCTTATTGTTGGTAATATATACTGTATACAATGTTGTAGCACACAATGCTGATGTCATCTTATCATTGGTAATTTATTCTATACACAATGTTGTGGCACATAATCTGCTGATGTTGTCATTCTCAGATGTTCAAAGAGTGGATCTATAAAGACACTGATAATAAAAAGCAATAATAATGAAAAGTAAAAAAGAAAAAGCTAGTTGACTTATGTCAGAATTGACTTATGACAGAGTCATAGGAATGGAAACCCTTTGTAAGTTGGGACTACCTGTATGAGGGACCACTGAGAAAAAAATTGTGCTTTTCTTCATTTAAAAATTATTTTAGCAATGTGTAACTTAATTTAGAACTGCTCACCACTTTCTATTTCCTCTTCATTATCATCCTCTAGGATGTTAGCTGGGGCAGCAGATTCTCCAGCTTCCATCATGCTTTTCAAAGCTTCGAGCTGTTCTGTTATTAAAAACCAAGGAGAAGATAGTGACAGATATTAGATCACTCATAAAATTTGGGCTTTAAGACGGACTGAGAAGAAATGAAAAGAGCAAGGAAACACACTGTCTAGCCATCAACTGGCCACATCCCTAAGGGCCAGTCGTGACCACTATGTCACCCATTCTGGTGGTCTTGGCTTCTTATAAAACATGCAGAACCACACTGTGTGCACATGATGAAGACCTATGGCACCTCAATGGGCTGTCCAAAATTCTGGTCATCAAGTTCTGAGAGGAGAACTCTATCATGGTGAAAGATTTACGGCTGAATAGCAAAAGCCCATAACTTGGGGAATCTGGCACTGACCAAGGTTTAAAAACAATTATAGTGAAGATATAATAGAAAAGAGACATGCATATTGGACATAACAAAAGTCCAAGAAAAAACACCTGCAACTCATATAAGCAGGTATATGGGACTCATATGAGTGGGGGAGCTCTGGTGGAGTAGTGCCTAAGGCATTTGACTGCTAACTAGAAGGCTGGTGGTTCAAACCCACCAGCCACTCCTTGGAAGGAAAGTTGGGCAATCTACTTCTGTAGTGATACTGCCTCAGAAACCCAAGAAGGGGTCACTAAGAGTCAAATCCGACTTGACGACTGTGAGTTGGAGTTTAGTGAGTTTATAAATATATAAATATACTATATAAAAAACAAGTAAGTAAAAAAATACAGAAATAAAATAAAAGTATGCAAACATGGAGGGGTAAATCCCAGATGATGATATATAAAGAGACTAGTTATTAGAGACATACAGACAAAAAAATAAGATATTGTTTCTCTGCTATTAGTTGGGCACACACATAAAAGATGGTCAGTAGTCAGTGTTAAGGAAACTGACATGAAACAGCACTCTTGTATACTGCTGGTGACAGTGTAAATTGCTACAACTTTTCTGAAAGACAGTGTAACAAGATACATCATAAAATGTGCACATGCTTTGGCTCTTGTTGTTGTGTGCCACAGAATCAACCTTGACTCTCAGCGACCCTATATGACAGAGTAGAACTATCCTGCAGGGCTTCTTAGGCTGTAATTTTACAAGAGTGGATTATCAAGGTCTTATCTCCTGTGGAGGGGTTGGAGGGTTCAAACTGCCAACCTTTTAGTTAACAGCCGAGCACTTAACCATTGTGCCACCAGGGCTCCTTATGCTTAAGCAGCTCTATTTGTCCCTGTTGGGTCCAAGGAGAAAGTTTCAAAAATGGACAAAATGACCATCAAGTATTCTCACCATTGTTGTTTTTATAATAGTAAAAATCCATTCACTTGGGACAGGTAAAATATATTACATTCTATATAATAAACCACATGCAGTGTTTCCTAAAAGTGATCATATAGAATTACTAACTACTGGACTGAAAAGAAAAATTAACATTCAGTATATTTAACATGATCCCAGTTTTGTTACAAATATGTTTGTGTATAAACATGAATTTGTATATATATTTATCAATAATGCATGTATATATATATATATATGTAAATGTGTGTGTGTACATAAAATTTGAAACTATTTTATTATATTTTTCTTTGAATTTTCCCTATGAGCTCTGATAGTGTAATGCCTAAGGCATTTGACTGCTAACCAGAGGGTTGGAGGTTCAAACCCACCAGCCATTCCTTGGAAGGAAGGTTGGGCAATCTACTTCCGTAGTGATATCACTTCAGAAACTCAAGGAGGGGTCACTATGAGTCGGGTCTGACTCGACGGCACATAACAATTTTTTTAAAACAAAAATAAACATTCATACAATTTTTAAATTTTATTAAAGAATACATGAGGAAAACACAGCAATCATACCAATAGTTGGTACTACTAATTCAACAAATTAAGAAATAGTCTTGAAAGAAAATAAATCTTTTTTCCTATAAAATCTCTTCTCTCTTTCCACACACACATACACACTCACTTACAAACTCACACCTTCAGCTAGGATCCCCAGATATGCATATATCACATAGCAAACTGCAAAGAGAAACTAGTATATAAAATTATAAATGCCAGCTCCTTCTATCTTGATAAATTCTTAAATGCTGTTTCCGTTTTCTTCTCATTTTTCCTTAGGATCCCTCTAACTTCTGGCATATGAATATATGAATATACTTCTCTCAGTGCAGGAACTAAATTTAACTGGAAATGTGACAACCTTGCTTTGAAAAGAAAAGCATATCTAAAACATCACTACACTCATCCCCTCTAAAACTCAGGGATTTCATTCTACAAAACTGAAACTGTCTAAACACATAGTGTACGTGCACTCCCATCATGTATGTGTGTATTTGCCTTACTTTTTTCCACTTCAGGTTTCAGTCGTTTATTTTTGATGAGTATTTTTCTTTTGAGGTCATTGGGGGATGGCAAGGGCCTGCCTGGTTCAAGCTAGAGATAAACAGAAAAAGCCGAATTAATAACAGGTTGTGTTTCTTCATTTTCATTTCCAGACCAGAATGAGCATGAAGGCCTATGAGTCATACAACCCAATGTCCACTAGATGGCACTCAGCAGTTATTTAAGTTTTCATACCCAGCAGGAATCGCCCATCATCTCAAACTCTGCTTTAGACTAAGGCAACAAACTTGGAATCCAGGCAGACTCCAAGGGTACAGAACTGCTCCACTTTTCCCAGTGGAGCTGGAGTCAGAGCTGGTGTGGTGCATTTCAAGATGGTTTATCGCCCAACATCAGGCCTTAAAAGTGTCTGGTGAAATTGAAGGGATCATAGTGATGGCTGGGGTCAGAACTGGCTTCCCCAGGCAAAAGCTGAGAGGTTCTCCAAGTCCTCTTCTGTGCTGAGCTGTCTGGTATGCCTGTGAACTCAGTCAGCTGATCCAACCTCAACACTTGGGGCTGTGGGTTTGTGGGTAATAGAGAAGGCAGTGGTCCTCATCACTGAAATCTCAACCCTACCATGGCTTAATTCACTTGATTTGTCTGCAGAAGAGGTGTCCCTTCCTTCTCTCCATTACCTCAGAGTGAAAGAACTGTCTTATATCTATCTACTCATCCATTCTCCCATCTCATTCCCTCACTCATCTTCCCACCCACTTACCTATACACTCACCAACCACTCTTCCGCCCTTCTGCCTGCACTTTCAAAGTGAATTTGTTTGCTACTCATTACATATATGGCCCTGTTTGATCCCATGCCTGTCTTTCCTGAAACACAGCACTTATCCAGAATTCTGCTTCCTTCAGGAAGCCTGAAGTAACTGATCCATTCTCCAATATCTCCCCTGGACCTGGACATCTCTGACAAATATTCAATACATCATAGGCTATATCCTACTTTAGTTGTGTATCTGCATTTGTGTCCTGTGATGCTCCCCAAAGATTAAAAGCTCCTTTGTTCAGGAAGCAGGTCTTACTTCCATTTGCATTTCCTGTGCTTCCTACAACACATTTCATATAGTATGTGTCTAACACTCCACTAGGAATATAGTCATCTTTCCATAAAAGCAAGTACCTTAGCCCTGCCAAGAAAATGAAGAGGGCCTAGGTAAAGCCACTCCTCGGAAGGAAGGTTGGGCAATCCTACTTCCGTAGTGATACTGCCTCGGAAACCCAAGGAGGGGTCGCTATGAGTCGGGGCCGACTCG